GATTACCCTCATTACCATATATCTACGTCATTTATCTCAATATTTTCTATAGATCATTATAACACTATAGTAACCCAGGTGATGTTAGTAGATATAAGACCATCGGCCTCACTATAAGGATAACCGTGGCTTTGTTGGCCTGTGTTTTTGATCATGTTACAAATCCATCATTATTTTCTCACAATCACGTGATGGTGAGGATAGAAGGTGACCTCATCATCATCATCATCATCATCACCTGACATAAGCAAGACATGTTCCTCTCTCGTGATACATCATAATCTGTCTCCGTGGTGGTTGAGTGACCTGTTGTGACTTGTTAAGAGATCAGGTCAAGGGTTCGAGATTGGCACGAAGAAGAGAGAGCGTGTGTGTGAAAAGAAGACGGATTAAATCTAACCTTAGCCAGACAGACAGACACACAACCTGAGTGGTATATTCGTTCTCCCAATAGGCAAGGTATAAAATAAAAATAGTAGCACTGCTCTTAGTCCACACCGTAACCCTTAAAAAGTGACACGAGAAATATTGATAAAGTCTTCGAGGGTCTTTGTACTTCCATTCTCTTTAATCGACCTTAAAACACGTACATGACACGGTACTTACAGCCTTAAACCAACCTTGAATCTACACGAATCAACAGAAGAGCATCGTTATGTAGCTTTTAGGGCAGTAGTCATCAGCAGTATTTGATATAATGACTAAATAAAGTTGTGTTTATGTTCCTCTCTCGGTTAGCGCTACAAGTGGCGTCGTACTGAGGCAACTGGGGGAGGGATGAGGGGGGAGGTGTAGGTGAGGGAGAGAGAGAGGGAGAAAGAGAGTAGTGGTGGGGCAGGTGAGGGAGAGATAGTGAGAGAGGAGGAAAGGTAATGGTATAGACTAGACGCCCGACTGAGCCTAGACTTAACTAAGGTAAGTGAGAAGTGCCAGGGAGCCGGAGACCTCACCTCAGTCCTACCCTATAAACACCTAATACCTTAACCCCGGGTAATCTACAGCAGGAACACTGTGAGCGACGCCCTTAGACTCAAGTGCCTCTCAAGTCCTCCCACGAGGCACAGTGACTTCCCCCCGCTTCTCCTCCTCTGGGATGAAATTGTATCGTAAATAAATCAACGGAATGACTCGAGGAAATTAGACTAAAAATAGAAATAAGTGATGTTTGGTAATGTTGAGATAATGTTACCTTTATTATGAGGATTAGCTGATGATGTGCGAGTGATGGTGGCGTGACTAGGTGTGCTCTCTCTCTCTCTCTCTCTCTCTCTCTCTCTCTCTCTCTCTCTCTCTCTCTCTACACACACAATACTACAGCTGCTCTTCGTGTTTCTTTACGTTCACTCAACCAAGAATTATGTAAACATTCGTATTTTAAAAAGACATCTATCTTCCTGGTATCAATCTGTCCATCTGTCCAAAGTCTACCTATCCTTCTGTCTATCTATAAGACTATGTATCTATTCACTATAACTATTCGTGAAATTTATCTATAATTCTTTCAAACTGTGACTACTTATGCCCAGTCCAAAATGAAAGCATCATTAAGTCATACCCAAGAGGTTTGAGTCATCGTATTCAAGAGGTTAAGTCATCGTATTCAAGGGTTAAATCATACTCAATGTGTTCGTTTATCGTCCTCGGGGGGTTAAATTATCGTACTCAAGGGGTTAAAGTTACCTTGGTATATAGGTAGTTATTGGAGGTGTAGTGTGTAAAAGGGTGCAGGTGAGAGTGTAACGAGTCATGCAGGGCGGCACCAAGGGCGAGGGTCTGCTATGGCGTGACGTGGAGGCCAAACCCGCCCAGCTGTCGGCGAGAGGTTCATCCTAATCCAATATTCTCCACCACTCTTAAGTTTGTAAATTATTAAAAAAAATCTAGGTTTATTTACATGTCTGCCAAAACCTATGCATTAGTTATAAAACACAAGCACTAACCCATTATTATTCCCGCCAAAACTAGATACAATGTTTATATATGACCAAAGTGAAGAATTGTTCATTTTACCGCCAAAACCAAACATGATTAAACTTCATTGTTATTAACATTAAAAAAAGACGTTAAGTTTGTAAATAATCAAAATTAAAATTCGTTAATATTCTCGCTAAAAAAACAGGTGTTCAGTAATAGTGTTAATTATAAAAATAAGCTTAAACAGAATGAGAACTGCCATAATGATAATAATTTATTTTATATATTATTTTCAATGTTTTACCTCTGTTGTTTGGTATAAAATATCTCTTAGCGGCTTAACGGACATTGCCACGAGATCATGCAAATAGTTTTTAATTTCTCCCTCGCTGTTGCTCTATAAAAATAAATTCAATGATGATAGTGGTGGTGGTAGTGGTGGTGATGATGGTGGTGGTGATGATGGTGGTGGTGATGATGGTGATGGTGGAGGTGTTGGTAGTAGTGGTGATTGCGCCAGCCAGCCCCAGTAATGTCACTGTAGCGCCACGCCCCTCGTCTACTTGACTATCCCATGACTCACCCACTTTTTACCCGACTCTTTACCCATCACCGGGACCCACACTTGGCGTCTGGATTTTGTTCATCGGCATAAATTTTGTGTACACTCATTCTTCCATGATCCAGGAATCACTCGGGGGTTTTCAGGTTCTCTAATGGTCAGCAAACTTCGTCAGCTGGCTGGGTGGTGTGTTCTCGTGTGTCCAGTGACGACCAGAGCCTTGAGGTGTGTTTGTCCAGGTGTAACATTATCTGCAAAATTATCTTACAGGCGACGTGTTCTTCAGGTAGAGGGAGGGGGGGGGCTAGGGGGGGTGGGATTGGAAGGGAGGAGGGTTTAGGAAGGGAAGAGGGGCTGGGAAGGGAGGAGGGGAGGTAGGGAACAGGGGCTGGGAAAGGGAAGAAGGACAGGGAAAGGTAAAGACAGGAAAGGGAAGGACAGGGGTAAGGGGGGAGGTCATCTCTCACGACCACCTATCATCAGTAACGTCTTTAAAAACACCAAATATGAAGACAATTTAGCTGTCACAACCCCCGAGGAACTTTATCCCGTGAGCCGCCCTGCTGTTAGGTACATATTTTACGATGGGTCGCCGGGGAAGATATGACTGCTTAAAACTTCCTCCTGTTGCCTGGTAAACATTTAATGATAAGCAGTGTAAATATACAGTAACTCTAAGCAGTGTAAATATACAGTAACTCTATCTTAGTAATTATCTCTCTCTCTCTCTCTCTCTCTCTCTCTCTCTCTCAATTCCCATGAAAGGATTTCTCTGTGTACGTTGCAGATTTTACACTTGTTATTATTATTCATTTCTATAAATCATAAAGTAGTGAAGATGATGTAGAATCTTAAGATGTGAAAAATAAATAATTACCCTAGAGGATGAAACCCCCTTTAGAATAACATGAATTATCAATGAATAATGTAAACAGTGAAAGACATATAGGTCAGGGTTATAACTAATGTTTATTTACCTCCACAGAAAGCATGCATGGCTGTGTGCTGAAGGCGGCGAAAGACGAACGCCAGATGTTGGTGAGTGCTCGTGCTGGCGTTGTTTGTATAGTAAGATAATTTTTTTTTGTTTTACTTTAAAGTATTGTGAGCGTTGTATTGTTTATATATACAAGACAGTGTATCTCTCTCTCTCTCTCTCTCTCTCTCTCTCTCTCTCTCTCTCTCTCTCTCTCTCTCTCTTTATCTTTATTTATCTATATCTATCAATTTATCTATATATCTATCTCTCTAGCTATCTTTATTTATCTATCTATCTATTTATCCATCTTTATCTATCTATCTATCTATATATCTATCTATCTATCCATCTACCTGGACCAAAACTATAGTACCAGGACCACAGAAAACAGTGTAGCCAGAACTCGCTGACTGAGGCCATATACAACCTGTAATTGTTTGTACGGAACTAATTCACCCCAGAACGATCTCTTTATTTTTCCGGGATGGCAACACTGGACAGGCAATCTTCACGATAGCTGAGGATAGGAGAGCAGGATAACAGGATAGGAGAGCAGGATAACAGGATAGGAGAGCAGGATAACAGGATAGGAGAGCAGGATAACAGGATAGGAAGGCAGGATAACAGGATCGGTGAGGATAACAAGCTAGGTGAGGGTAGGAGGTCAAGATAACAGGATAGGTTGGGGTTAGGAGGTTCAGGATAACATAAGATAGATGAGGATAGAACAGGATAACAGGATAGGTGGGGGTTAGGAGGTTCAGGATAACATAGGATAGAGGACAAAAGGATGGGTGATGTTCAGGATAGCAGGATGGGTAAAGGATAGCAGAGGACAGGTAACCTTTAGGATAGTGAGAGTAGTCCGGACAACACAGGACAAGAGCTGGATGGTCGTGGTAGTGGTCGTGGTAGTGGTGGTGGTCGTGGTAGTGGTGGTGGTCGTGGTAGTGGTCGTGGTAGTGGTGGTGGTGGTCGTGGTCGTGGTTAGTGGTGAGGTGGTGGTCATTGGTTTGTGTAGTGGTGGCGGTGGTCGTGTAGTAGTGGTGGTGATCATTAAGTAGTGGTGGTGGTCGTGGTCGTGGTCAGTGGTGGCGGTGGTGGTGTGGTGTAAAATCATAAGCTGCTGATGCGTGTGTGTGTGTGTGTGTGTACTCATCCCAGTCAAACAGTCCTTGATCATTGTCATTAACCATCTATGCCAGTTAAAAGGCTAAAGTCAAATGGACCAGTTAGTGATCCATCCAATCAGACGACACCCAGCCTGGAGTGGTTAGGTGTAATTAACTTATCTCTCTCTCTCTCTCTCTCTCTCTCTCTCTCCACCACAAAACTTTTACGTGTATTGCTTTGATTTCGGTAATATTGAGAGAGAGAGAGAGAGAGAGAGAGAGAGGCGTGACTAATGTTTCTCCGTCAGTGAGTGAGTGAATGAGTGATAAACCGAGTGAGTGACCGAGTGAATAACTGAATGGGTGAGTGAGTGAGTGAGTGACGTATAGCTAAGCAATTAATACTAAAACTCATAATCATTTAATACATTACTTAATAGCGACGTGTTGAGACGAGTTTAGGTGTGGCCACGCCTTCACACGCCAGCCCCAGACACTAGCGACCACGCCCACCTCACACCACACGCCTATTATGGCATACGGCAGCCCCCCACGCCTTCACAGTTACCTGAATGTGATGGGATCTTATATTGCTACTGAGACGCTGATTGATTATCACACCTGTATATGGTGCAAGTTACTTCTACTTTACATATAGCTATTAAGATCTCTCTCTCTCTCTCTCTCTCTCTCTCTCTCTCTCTCTCTCTCTCTCTCTCTCTCTCTCCTTTATGAAAATCTACCTAATCTTTCAATATCCAAGTCTTAGTACACGTAAGGGTTGTCTGTCAGTTTGTCTATCCAATTTGAGTCGTCTCCGTGTATGAGTGAGTTTGATTAAGTTCGATAAAAAATGGATTTCATCTTTATTTACCAGAATTTTTATATGTTAGGAATTAACTTTATTTACTTTTTTCTAATATTGGTGTTTAATATATAATCATTGACCTCTTGTTTATATTACAGTCCACTTAATTTGCTTATTTTAGACGTATTTATTCCCCCAACACACCTCAGGTCACCTACCACCATATTACTTAACTTTGCCCTGTAAGGTAAAAGCAACTGAGGCACTTTTTGCATGATCTACGTAAAAAAAAACACAAAAAGGGAGTCCTAACCAATCATCGTTTTACACCAGCCAATGACGTCTTCTTTAGCAATGTGTAGGTCAATAGGGAAGCTTATCTCAGGGCTGCAGGGTTCCCGAGCAAGCATCAGCTGGGGTGGGTGGAGTCTTTGAACGCGGGTCATACGAGGTGCTCAGCTGACTCATCCACCTATTTTTAGTCATCTTTCACACTATTCTTTTATCATCGTCATTATTACTCCCTTCACTGTTTAACTTAATTATTTCCTCTTTTATTATCCTTCAGCGAAATAGTTATGAAAATGTGAGAACAAACGGTTTTAATAGTATCGTATATATTATTATTATTTTTTAATTATTATTAATATTATTATTATTATTATTATTATTATTATTATTATTATTATTATTATTATTATCCTACGTACTATTAACATAATAAGTTATTTTTTATTGTATTGTTTTGGCAGGAAATTATAACTGGAGGAAAAAGTAATTTACACATACTGTAGAGGTACTGTGAATACGTCGTGTCTGGCTACATTGTGTACTGATAACAGGAGAGGATAGTTTATTATTCTTATCTTTTAACTGATAATGACGAGAGTAAAAGAGAGGATTGATGAAAGAGAGGATTGATGAAAGAGAATTGATGAGAGAGAATTGATGAGAGAGAAATTTGATGAAAGAGAGAATTGATGAAAACGAGGATTGATGAAAGATAATTAATGAAAAAGAATTGATGAGAGGGAATTGACGATAGAGAATTAATGAGAGAGGATTGATGTGAGAATTTTCGAGAAGTACTTTTTGTCATTTATGTCAAGTGTCTGTCAGTGGGAGCCGGGGCCAGGTGGTGTTACCGGGGCCAGGCAGGTGATGTTATACCGGGGCCAGGCAGGTGGTGTTACCGGGGCCAGGTGGTGTTACCGGGGCCAGGCAGGTGGTGTTATACCGGGGCCAGGCAGGTGGTGTTACCAGGGCCATGTAGTGTTACCAGGATCAGCTGGTGTTACCGGGGAAGGTAGTGTGACAAAAATTCTTCATCTTCACTTCTCCCACAGACCTGTTTTGGTTCTCGCTTCATCTAGTTCCCTGTGTGTGTGTGTGTATGTGTGTACGTGCGTGCGTGCGTGCGTGCGTGCGTGTTTGCGTGCATGCTTGCGTGTATAACTAGCATAATTTGACCTTCCGTTGTCAGCATATTTTCACTGAATATATCCTCTCTCAGTATACTTTTAAGAGATATCCGCAATGGACATATTTTATCGCTTTAACCAGTAGCCAGAATATTTTTTAACCGTTTCTTTATGAGTATATCCGTTTCCGGCCGTGTGCAGCATACTCAGAGCCATGCCAGCATATCGATGTATTATGTATGTATATCACGTCCCCGGGGGGTGTATGCTCAGGGGCCCTCATACCGTACGTGTCCATAATATCCGCCGTCGTATCGTCTCTTGTGACTTGCCTGCCTTGATGGAGCTCCTCTGTTTTTCTCTGTTTATTTTTTATCGAGGAATGTCTGTAGGTAGGTGTGTGTGTGTGTGTGTGTGTGTGTGTGTGTGTGAACGTGTTTGCGTGAGTGTGAATGTGAGTATGAGGAGGAACTGTGTGCAGTGAGCCACCCAGAGAGGATTACTGTCAACACGGGACGGTGACACACACACACACATACACACACCAGGACAATTGATCATAATTTAAAGTCGCTTCAACAATTCTCCTGAACATCACACGTCTTTGCCTCCATTGATACGGCTCTCTCTCTCTCTCTCTCTCTCTCTCTCTCTCTCTCTCTCTCTCTCTCTCTCTCTCTCTCTCTCTCTCTCTCTCCCTTCCCTTCCGTCTCTCTACAAGTTATCATATATTTCTCTTCTTTATTTCTCTATTTTCTTTTATTCATATTTACTCTCAACCATATTCCTCAGTTTACATCTTTATCAATTTCTTTTAATTCCTGTTCATTCCTGTCACTCATACATCCATAATTCTCACCATTTCCCTATCGCTAATTCTTCCCATCATCTCCCTTCACTATCTCTCACATCAACATTAAATAAAGAGAATGAATAATGGAACGAAGAAATGAATAAATAAAGACATTGCATAACTAAATATATATGATAATTACGAATGAATGAATGAAGGAAGGAATGAATGAATGAAGGAATGAATGAATGAATGAATGAATGAAGGAATGAATGAATGAATGAAAATGAAAATACGAAAATTAAATACAAATTGCAATACAGTGTGAAGTGAATATTGATCCAGTTTTACATTTTTACACTGCTAAATAATTCGGTCGTGTAGACGTGTATAGGTAGGGGAGATATGTGAGTCATGCTGTGTGTGTGTGTGTGTGTGTGTGTGTGTGTGTGTGCCACCCCTCGTGAAGCCATTGGTGGTACTGGCAGTGAACACGATAGTACTCTCACACCTCCCTCACCTCCCTCCCCCCCTCTCCCATTCTAGCCACATCCCAGCCCAGCCTCGCCAAACCCCCATGCCAAACCGGTACGTCACACGCCTTCATTTCCGCACCCTTATTGTGCCACACCACTTTTCTAGCCACACCACCAGCTTACCCACTATCTCAGCTTACCCACACCCCCTAGTCTAGCCACACCCTCATCATACCAAACTGTACGTCACACCCTTTCTTTCACTCCCCGGTATATTGTAGGTAATAATAATAATAATAATAATAATAATAATAATAATAATAATAATAATAATAATAATAATAATAATAATAATAATAATAATAATAATAACCTGGTCCAATGTTTATAATAGGTGTTACTACAGGCAGAGGGTGACACGTGTGGCCCTTTGTACAGAAATACCTCAACATTCCTCTGTCACGTTTCTCTTTACTACAATGTTTTGTTAATGTGAATTTTATTGTTCTATGTTATTATTATTGTCATTTTATTTGCATTCTTCTTTATTACTCTGGGGAGGGACTGGTACTAGGGACGGGCGGGGCGGGGGGGGCAGGGCAGGGCAGGGCAGGGGCTGGAGTACTAGGGCGTGGCGGGGTACTGGGGACAGGGGAGGTGATTTAGGGTAGGTACTGGGGCTGGGGACAGGGGAGTAGGGAGGGTGACCTATCATGCAGTAAAGATCGTGTGAGTAATAACAAGCAACAGGGGGCACAGCTATTTATTTTATTATTACGTTTTACACACACACACACACACACACACACACACACACACACACACACACACTTCCCATAAGTCTACTTTCTTCCCTTCATATGACCTACATTCTACTTTATTCCCCTCACATAATAAACAGAGACCCAGAGTGCACTTTCTTCCCCCACATTACTTCCCCTCATTTACAGTTTCTCCCCTCATATTAAATCTCCGCGCTGCACCTCCTGAAATAATGGTTAAGACCTGCAGCAAATTGTACTTACTTCTGTGTGTGTGTGTATGTATACGTGCATCTGTGTGTATGTGTGTGTTTAGGCATGTAGGTAGGTGTGTGTGTAGATATGCAAGGGGACAACTTCACATACAGGGTCATGTGGTGAGAGGGAAGGTGGGGGGGGGGTCAGGTGATGGGAGGTGGGAGGGGTAGGTGGTGGGTGAGGTGAGGATGGGAGTCATATGGGGGTCCACCTCCGGTAAATACAATGATGGGACATACTCACGTTTATTGTGGCGTCGCGTGACTCTAACAACTTCACATTATGTGTTGCCAGGACAGAGTAGGTTCACATCACTCCCTCCTCCGGTTCCACATTGTTTACTTACACACTTAAATATTAGCGCCCCCCCCCCCTCCCTTCCTCTCCATCTTACACTTGATGATTGAACACCTTAATGCTTCTTGGGGGGTAAGGTTAGATTAGGTTAGGTTAGAGTGGTTACTCTTTAGATGAAGTAAGCTGGAGGGGCTAATATTTAGACGATAGAATCCCCCCCACCCCACACCAGCTAGTGTCCTGACTGGCAGCACAGACAGTGAGACTTAGACCAAGACAAACACGCGTAAAGGATTGCGATAGTGAATTTAAGAGACATAGTGAGAGTACAATTACGAATTTTACAATTTGCCCCGCGAGGATACTAGTTTGTTGGGCACCCCATTACATCCTGTGCAAGGCGAAGCGCAGAAGCCCTTACAGGGTCCAACAGGGAAGCATGTGGAGTTCATGCTTGCCTTCATGACTCATGCATTAAGGGAGTAAATGCCTGAAGGGTCATAGGTTCTGTCAAGTTACATAAAGTGACAGGATAATGAGTGTGCGGGGGGAAAGTTCCCGGTACAATTCATCTGTTTATGGTAAAGCGTGGCAGGTCCCTAATAATGTCAAGTGTAGTAGGTGTTGTGGGGTAGGAAGAAGGATGGCGGGGAGGTGGGTGGACGGCAGGAGCAGCAGCATGTGTTAAGGCGAGGCACAAGACAGGGTGTGGCCTAGCATTGTGTAAAGCTGATGGTGTGGTCCATCTTACAGC